AGCCATTGAAACCCATGGAGGAGAGCTTTGCTCTGGCACACAAGGGCACTGCATGTCCCAGAGTCAGCAACTGGTTTTGACCAAAATGCTCTGGTTAAGCGAACATCCAGTCAGCTGCCTGAACACACAGCAGCCTCTAATATCAGTTTGGCTGACACCAAGAGCTGCAGGGAGGCAGGAGGCCAGGTGACCCTGGGGGACCTTTTGTCCCAAACATGCCTCGACCTTTTACACCTTGGAGGACACACTGGTGTCGCCCACAAGGAGTTGTGTTGATACCACAAAGACTCTGCTTCTCTGATGGTTGGAATCCGCCAGCTGCCGCGACAGGGGAGAAGAATGTACAATCTCCTGTACAGTTTGTAGCCTCACAAGCCTTGCGGAGGGTCAGCAGTGAGTCAGAACCGGCACCTCAGAGCCAGTGAGGTCAGGGTGGGGGAGTGCATGTGAGGGGGATCACAGAGCCCCCTGTGCTGCCAGACACAGGAGGCCAGATTCCAATCTGTTCTGAGACCTGAGGGAGGGAGGGCTTGGCCTGAGCTCAGAGATTAGACATATGGAGATGCAGGCTTTCCAGGTGGTAAAAAACAGGATGGAGGTGGGCCTGGGGTGCAGGTGAAGTATGTGTACGTGCATCCTGTGCACTAACATCACCTGCATTCAATTTCATACCCCCTTCCACCTACAGCTGTATGTAGGACCCTCATCACACTCTCTAGGGAATCCACTTACTTGCTGTCTTGCCATGTTTTTGCCAAAAGCGCCATGATTCTGAAGGATCCACCTGTGCCCAGAGCCCAGAGCACGAGATGAGCGACTCAGTGCAAGTGCTGGGTATCCTGGCACCCCTACCCAGTGAAGACCTGGCTCAGAGTTCCTTCCTTTGAAAGAATGTTCGTTTCATCATGATCTTTTCCACAATGGCCTTTAGCTATGTGCCTCCTGAGAAATTAGTCTCTTTTTGTATAAATAACAAAGTGTTTGAAATGTATTTCTGAAATAAATGTTTCAAATACAAACCCGGAAAAGAAAAAAACCCACAAAACCCTCAGTAAGGTCAGCTATGGCTCACTTCCAACTTGATGGTATACAACAATGTGAGTCTAGTTTGTTTAAAGGTCCCACATTCCTCTACAATATGACTTTGTTGTTCCTCCCATAAAGAATTAGACTTTCTCCCCTCACCCCCTGAATCTGCTGTCATTTGGTTTAACTGATAGAATGTGACAGAAGGGATATTTTGTGAGCTGTAGCCCCTAAGAGGGAGCTCTGGTGGTCTAGTGGGCAGGGAGTTGCACTGCTAACCCCAAAGTGGCACATCTCGGGTGGTTCAAATTCACCATCAGCAACTCAGAAGAAAGATGGGCATCTCCTCCTATGTGATTTACTGCTTTGAAAAACCCTCTGGAGGGTTAGCTATGATGGCAATTTGACAGCAAAGAGGAAGAGAGAGAGGCCTTAGAAGCCTTTGCAGCTTCTGCCTTTGCTCCTTTGAATAACTGCTCTGAGACCGCCGTGAAAGGCAGTGAGTTTAGAGCACATACAATGAAGCCACATGAGGAAAACTGAGGTGCTCCTGCTCACAGCCAACACTAACTCCCAGCCATGAGTGAGATCATCGTGGATTGCCCAGCTCAGCCCACTTGCCACCTGGGTGCAAGCCACACATCAGTCCAGGGGAAGAGAGCAGAGGAACCCCGTCAACCCTCAGAATCATGCATAAGGAGCTAGTGTTCTAAGCCACTAGGTTTGGAGATGATTTGTTGTATGATAGTAAGTAAATAAAAGACTTTCTGTTGTCTTTCCTACAGAGCCTTGCATGTTCTGAAAACATGTATGCTTGACATGCCACCTTCATTCCTTCTCTAGTCAGTCTGGTTTTAGAGATCATTGACTTAAAGGCCCTTTGACCCCAGATCATTTGGACATGCTATTCCCACAACCCTCTTCCAATTTTAGTTTATCAACATCCTTGAATTCTCAGTGCAGTTCTCATGTCAAAGACCCATACAGACTCTAGAAGTACTGTGTGGATTGCCTGTGTGTTCGTGTTAGTTTGGGTGGGTACTAATTGTTTGTCTCACCCCTTACAAACTCTGCAGAGGCATTTCTGAGCCTGATTTTTACCACCCTGTCTCTGTGTCTGGTAGAGAACCTGACACTTTGTTGCTGCTGAACGAAGATGTCACCTTGGGAAGGTAAACATGATCCAAGTCATGGTATTTTCAGTCATCTCTTATGCATGTGAAATCTGGCAATGAATAAGGAAGACCAAAAAACTGTTGCCTTTGGATTGTGGTGTTGGTGAAGAATATTGACTATACCATGGACTGTCAGGTGAATAAACAAATCTGTCCTGGAAGGGAGAGGGCTCCTTAGATGCAAGGATGTTGAGAATTCCTCTCACCTATTTTGGCACATGGTGGTGGTTGTGTATTCTCAAGTCAGAACCAAACCACAACTTACCCTCCAGTGGGTTTTAAGAAGCATTAAATCACACAGGATTTTCCCATCCTTTTCCTGTAAAGTAGCTGGTGAATTTGAACTGCATCCCTTTGGGATTGCAGCAGTTTCTTACCACTAAATGAATATTAAATGAATTAATAAGATGGGTAACGAACATGGCAAATGTCTTTACACAAATGCAGTGTGACAGTAAAGGAAGGTTTTTAACAAGGCTTTTTCAAACTACCTCTGAAGTTAATTCAGAGTTTAAAATGTCCTGAGCACTGGAGGAGGTAGTCACTAAAAGAAGTCTGTAAGTGCCCAAGGTGGCTACTTAAGTACTGTGCTATTTTGAATTTATAAATTTTTATATATTTGTTACAGAATAACTAATCATCGGTTAGTCATACATTTTGTTTCCTCCAGTCTTCCAAAATGAGTGGGAGATGACAAGGGGGGATGTAAGTACTCATTAGTTGATGCTGTTGGTTGCTAATCTAGGAGTCAGCTCTCTTTTGGAGATGGTTTTACTCTGCACTCCCAGCTTGGGGATCAAGGAGGGGTGAAGATGGCTAGGAAGGAGATGGTGAGGGTGTAATTAAGGAAGGCAGAGCAGCTCATCATCTGCTGCCTTGTGATCTTTAAAAATTGTAATTTACTTCACCCACTTTCTGTCCCAGGGAAATCAAGAATTCTTTGAAGAAGAATAATGGCAGCATCCAAAAAAAGCTCCATTTGAACCTGCTTTTCTGTCACCCTCACACCTGAGCTTCCTATTGTTCTTCTAAAATTATTATTTCCTTCCCTCTCTGTCACTTCACCCATTGCCCTCTTAGTCTTCAAATCCCAAATCCTCAACCTCAGAACAGCTTCTCCCAACCAGGCAGTTCCTTGGCATATACATTAGTCTCAGTTGTGAGGGAAGCAGGAAGTGTAGGGATGAAAACTGTTGTTGATAGTTGCTGGATTCAGATTCTTGGCAACCTTGTGTATGTCAAAGCAGAGCTGTGTTCCATAGGTTTGCAATCGTTGGTTTTTCAAGAAGTAGACTGCTAGATCCTTCTTCTGAGGTACCTCTGGGTAGACCTGAACTGCCAGCCTTTAGGTTAGCAGCCAAATGTGTTAATGATTGAAGCACTCAAAAATCTGTATGTGATATACTTTTTAAAAAAATATCAATATTAGCAAACCCAGTACCCAGTAAACCAGATTTCTGTGTTCGGTAGAATGTGAAAACTGAAGGAAGGGAGAAAACTGGGTCCTGGGCTGTCTGGTGTCTGCAGAGACAAGGAAAGCAGTGTTTGGGTCACCTAAGTGAATAAGCAATGGAGAAAAAGCTAGTTTGCAGATTTTATTAATCCCAGGAGGGTTGTGGCTGTTGTTAGATGCTGTTGTCTTGATTTCAACCCACAGAGGCTCCATGTGACAAAGCGAAACTGCTCCACAGGATTTTAGACTATAATTTTTACAGAAACAGATTGCCAAGTCTTTCTTCTGATGAACCACTGCATGGATTTTAAGTGCCAACGTTCCTGTTGGGAGCCAACCCTCTTAACCATTGTACTAGTCTTGATAGAGGCCGGATGTCTGAAACTGAGACCCTATCCCCCAACCCCCTGCAATGTCAGACTCTGGAAGGATCAAGCTGAGGTTTTTATTTATAGTTCCCTGGGAAGTCGTACAGTCGTACATCATTATTGCTTGAGGATTATTGCCAGGAGAAAACTGCAGTTCTCTACTGCCATTCAGGAAGCCCTGCTCAGGGCTTAAGTCTATACCCAGGCCATTTGTGCCAGCCCCCCATCTCTGCCTGTGACCCAAAGGCTATTTCCATGAAGCACAGCCCCACTGTGTCCAAGTGCCACCCCGTCCACTTCCGCCATCAGATTTCCACCTTGTTTGTGCTGTGGATTCGCCAGACTTAACCGGCCCTCTCCACAAGAACACTTTATTAGTATCAGTTCTAGGTTTAAGCTCTTTCGCGCCTGGCTGGGAGACAAGATTCCTGGATTCCCAAGGATCATCATTTACTTTTTGGCCAGGACCAGCCTGGCTTTGTTACAAAAAAAAAGAAAAATCCCGCAAGATCCCATTTCTTATGTCCCAGATGGCATCAAAACTTGCTCGCTGGGTTACTACCCCCTTGATGACAGCTCAAGGGTTACTTTTGAGATACTCTGCATGTTTCTTGACACTGCAGGGGTTTTTAGAATTTTTTTTTTCCTGGGCCTCAGTGATACAGGAAGGGAGTACGGAGCGAGATCAGGTGGCAGAGAGGGGACAACTCAGTTGCTCATGCCCGGGTTTAGCTAGAAGGCCTAGAAGAAGAGGATGCGTCAGGGGGAGGCAGACTACTTTCTCTTCTAGTTCCTCGGCGGAAGGATATGGCTTTTGTTCATGCGTATTACTACTCAAAGCCGGGACTCCTTAGTAGGCGCGGCTACCCTTGCTCCAGCCGCTGCTGGGAGGGGTGGAAAGAGGAGCGAGAGGTAGCTACAGGAGAGCAATTCTCTGGAGGGTGCAGCAGCTCTTCAGGTCCCTGCGCTCCCGGTGGACTATTTCTTGGGATGCGTTTTATTCCCCAAGAGCCCATCTATCTCTGCCACCGTCTGCTGGGTCAGCTGGCTCAATACCTGGGGGAGAATGAAGTGGTAAAGAGGGCAGTCCATACTGGGTCACTTAAGTACAAAGGGTTCCAAGGCCCAGGGCAAAGCAGTACAAGGGTGCTAAACGCCAGGGAAAAGCACTGTGGCCCCACAGCTGCCTTGCCTTGTTGCCCTGGCCTGCGAAGCAAGGGCCTTGTACCTTGGTGACCTCACAGAGCCATTCTGGCTTGCACTAATTTCTAGGTGGAAAACTGAAACTGGCTCTGCCTTGTAAGCCCCCAGCTTACCTGTAAGGCGCCCAGGTGTTCTATCAGCTGCTCTGAACTCGACACCCCCAGCAAGACAGAGCTGACACCCTCATTGTGGAGACACCAGGCTGGGGCCGGAAGAGGAAAAAGAGTTTATGGGGAACAGTGCTCAGAGATGTCTCTAGGGAATAGGATCCTGCCCTGGACAAACCAGCCTTAGGGTAGATTTGGGCCATCTCAGGAGACAGTGTCCCTGTGGGGTCCAGAGCAGATGATGTCTCACCAATAGCAAGCTGGGCCACACTGCAGCCCAGCTGGTGAGCGATGGGATGGAGATCCATGATTTTAGCCTGTTGTTTCTTGCCTTCCTCACTCTGCACTTTGTCCTTGAGCCACTGGTAGCCCTAGAGACCAAAGAGAGTAGGCAAAAAAAGACCCCCTTTTCTCTCACCTCCAGAGAAATCCAGCCCTTTAGGTCCCAGATCTCACCTTGATGGTGGCCCTGCTGGTATCAGGGCCATGCCCATCATACTTGCTAGTAATGAGGCCACAGGCCAGAGGGGACCAGGTGACTGAGCCAACACCTAAGAGAAAGAGGGACTGGGTGGGTGGAGGGAAAGGGATCTGGGTCATGGGTGAGGCTGAGGGGAACATAGGACTGGGGGAGTTCGAACCAATCTTGTGGTAGAGTTCTGGCAGCTGCATCTCGACCTTCTCCCTCTGAAACAGGTGGTGCTCAGCTTGCTCACACACGGGAGGAATCAGATTGAACTGTCTCGCCATGGAGTAGGCTTCCTGGGTTGGGGTGAGGGAAGCAGACAGGATCAGTGTCCTCCATGTCTTTCTACCCTCCTCCCTCATAGATTGGGAACTGGAGTGGTGATGTGAGTCACGGGGACTGGTGATAGGATGGAAGAAAGTGCTACACTCACCATGATTTCTGCAGCCCCCCATCGGGATGTCCCCCAGTACAGGGCCAGGCCTTGGTTGATGACATAGGTCATGGCTCGCACAATCTCTAGGCACACAGGAGAGGGAAGGTCTCACTGTCAGACCCCCGCAGTTCAGGTCTGCATACCTCCACCTGTCTTGCTAAAGACCTCCATCATCTCTGTGGAGTCAGAAAGGTGGGCATCTATTCTTCACTTGTTCCCTGCCCAAGTCCTGGGATCTGGAGGAAGGGCTCATTCTTGAGGACCTGCTGGGTTTGGAAGTATTGATTTTACCCTCCATGGGGCTGTTGGGGTCTGAGCGATTGGCAAAGACGATGTCCACATATCCCAGCTGGAGTCGTTCCAGAGATCCTCGTAAGCCTGGGGCAAGACAGGTGGAGGAAGGTCAGTTGCTCAGTCCTAGTTTTCTGAGAATTCAGCTTTCCCATGGCTACCTAAATCCTAGCTCCCTTACTCAATGTCCCCAACCCCTCATTACCCAGACTTTTCACTACCAAACCACTGCAGATCCCAGCCCCTAGCTCACCTTCAATGATGTGTTTGCGGCTCAACCCTCGTTCAGTTTCAGCTCTGTAAAAAAAAAGTAATTACCAAAAGAAGTGACAAATGACCCTACTCCCACCCCGTACACTGCACACATTCTTTGTGAGGTCTGTCTGCCTAGCTGTAGTAAGACAGCCACTTACTGTCCTCCCCAAAATATCTTGGTGGTGATGACATAGCTTGATCTCCTGGAAAAAGAAATAGGTGAACCAGCAAGAAAAGGATTTTTGAAAGATCATGTATCAGTAACCCAACAATACCATCTCACCTCCAACCTTTGTTCTTGAGGATGTTGCCTAGGGTTCTTTCAGCCCTGAAAGACAAAGCAGAAGTGCTAGCCATCCCTAGGGTGGGTTAATCAAGTCACTCCCTCCCTTCCTACCCTTCCCCTCAACTAATTTCTTCTCTTGTAAAGTAGGTAGGTCAGATCCACTGAACACTCAATTCTATCCTATACAAGAGGGGCTCCTGGAACTAGTGGTTTAAGGATATAGTTCATTCAATAGGCATGTATCATGCATCTGCTATAAACCAAGCCTTGGTCTGGGTACTGAAGAGATATGATAAGGATGAGGAGAGAGAGACAGAAAGACTTGTGGGGCTAAGAAGACACTATTTGGCCTCACTCCAACCATCTAGTTTGGCTTTGCCCATCTCAGAGCATCAGAGAAACTCACCCATCTTCCAGAGTTTAGCTTTGATTCTGCCTTATCCAGAAAGCAGTCTTTGAGTGTCAGTCAATGGTCAGTACTTCTTGTCAGCTTTCATATCTTCGACTGGCTATATAGTTCTTTCACACTTGATTTGCACTTCCCTGTGATAAGTCTTATATTGCTTTGTTGTTGTTGTTATGTGCCATTCAAGTCACCTGTGACTCATAGTGACCCTATGTACAACAGCTCTGAAGCCTGTCCTAAGCCAGTCTCACTGACTCCAACACACCTACCCCAATTGCCCCACTTACTACATTGCTCCATCTCATCCAGGGCCTTCCTTTCCTGTGCTATCCCTCCACCCTTCCAAACATGATGTCCTTCTCCAAGGATCAGTTCCTCGTGGCGACATGCTCAAAGTATGTGAGATGGAGCTTCAAATTCCTAGCCTCCAAGGAGAAACTTGGTTTCACTTTCCCTAAGACAGACTGATTTGTTTTCTTGGCAGTCCATGGTATATGTTCAGGGCTCTGCTCCAGCACCACAACTCAAAGGCATAAATTCTTCTTCTGTCATCCTTAGTCACTGTTCAGCTCTCTGATACATAGTAAGTAATTGCAAAGCATGGTGTGGATCTGGCGCACCTTAGTCTCTAGACTCTGAAAGGAGATTTTCCCAGTGCAATTTGTCTTTTGATTTTCTGACTGCTGGTGCCAAGACTGTTGATTGTGGACCTGAGCAAGCTATAATTGTTAACAACCTCAATCTCTTCTCTATCATGGTGTTGTCAACTGCTAACTGGCCCAGTGGTGAGAATCTTTGTTTTCTTGATGTTGAGCTTCAAACCATATTGAAGACTACAGTCCTTGATCTTCTGCAGCAAGCGCTTCAGGTCATCCTCAGTTTCAGCAAGCAAAGTTGTGTCATCTGCATAACATAGGTTGTTGATTAGTCTTCTTCCAATCCTGATGCCACACTTCTCCTCATAAAGCCCAGCCTCCTGAATGATCTGTTCTGCATATAAATTGAAAAGGTATGGAGACAGAAAACGTCCCTGATGCACTCCTTTCCTGATTTTGAACCATGCTGTGTTTCCTTGCTCTGTTCTGAGGACTGCTTCCTGGTCCAAGTATAGGTCTTGCATGAGCACAATCAAGTATTCTGGGATTCCCATTCTATTCAAGGTTAGCCAAAATTTGTTGTGATCCACACAATTAAATGCCTTTTCATAGTCAATGAAACAGACATTGCTCTGGTACGCTTTGCTTTCTGCCAAAGATATTGGTGATAGTCTCTAGTGCTATGACTTCTTCTAAACTCAGCTTATATTTCTGGTAGTTCTCTGTCAATGTACTGTTCCAATCATTTTTGTATAATTTTCAGCAGGACTTTGCTTGCATGTCATATTAGATGATATTGTTTGATAATTTCCACTCTGTCCAATCACCTTTTTTTTTGAATGGGAATAAATATGTATCTCTTCCAGTCAGTTGACCAGGTAGTTGTCCTCCAGATTTCTTGGGTACAACCTGGTGAGCACATCCAGGGTAGTATCGGTTTGTAGTGGACTCTTAATTTTGTTGGCATGTCCATTTGTCTCACAAGCTGTGTGTGCTATATAGGCTGGGCTCTGAGTAGGCACCAAGAGGGACACAGAGAAGAACAAGTCCTGATCCAAGGAAGGAGGGACCTCACAGTTGAGCAGTGATACAGGGCAGTATAATGTCCTTTGGGAGCTCAAGGAGGGAAGAGTGATTAACTTTGGGAAGTGGAGTGGAGGCTTTTTGGAATAGCTGACATGAGAGCCAAGTTGAAGATGAGCTAAAGTGTCAGTCAGATGACTGGGTCATCCCATGCTTTAGCGACTTAGTATAGCACTACAGGTATGTGATATGGTGGGGGTGTGTTTGGAAATTGAGTTTGCAAGCCTCCCAACTTATACCTGTGCACCTTAACTTACGCACAAAACCAATACCCATATTGGTTTAATTTCTTTTGACTGCACATTATACCCATTGCCTGCAACAGTGTTGGGATTGGTGGTGGTGTTGTCGAGCTGACTATGATTCATAGTGATCCTGTGAACACAGGTCTGGACCCTGCCCTATATTGAACCAACCCCACTAACCCTGATTCATGTGAGCCCACTGCTAGTCATTGTGTCAGTCCATCTTGTTGAAGGTCTTCCTCTCTCTCTCACTGACTCTCTACTCTTCCAAGCATGATGTCTTTTTCCAGGTACTGGCCCCTCCTAACAACATGAAAGTATGTCAGATGAAGTCATCCTTGCCTGTAAGAAGCACCCTGGCTGCACTTTGTCCAGGACAATGACCCCCATAATGCTGCAAGGGGCCCCTATGCTGGAATTTAGTCTTTTCAGAACTCCCAGAGTTGCCTAGAAGTTGTCCTTTCAGCCTTCCAAGTGTAAATTAGCTCCTTTACCCTCATCCTTACTTTCCTGCTGCGTACACTTCAGCGGTGTCAAACAGGTTTATGCCGTGCTCGTAGGCTACTGTCAGCACATCCTCTGCTGTCTAGGGAAGCAAGGAAAAGAGTTAAAGCCCCTCTCTTACCTTCTTCTCTGTATTCTGTATCTGGCTGGAGAGGTCTGTCCTCCCCTCCAGCCTCAGGTTCACTACTCCCGTGCTTATTGTCCAGATCCCTATCCAAGTCCATTTTCCCCCTTTTCTTGGTTCCCTCATACCCCTTCACCCGGCTTTTAGGTCCCATCATTTATACCTCATCAGAGATCTGAGAACCGAATGTGACCCAGGTACCTGCAGGAGAGAAGTTGGCCTTTGAGAATGATGGGAGGGAGCTGTGAAAGACTGCCCCTCCCTCTGATTTCTTTTCTCCCCGACTCACCCAGGCCAAGACAGGATACCCGAAGACCAGACTTCCCTAGGTTCCTACAGGATACAGAAGAATCAGGAAGAGGCGGAACCCCTATTAGGGACCCTGATTATCAGTTCCCAGGGCCTTTCCTCCCAGACTAAGAAACCCTCAGAGTGTCTTAGTTCAGAGAAACCAGACCCAGTGGCCCTACAGGATTAGGCAGTGCTATGCCCACAGCAGAAAGCCTAGAGATATTGTTAAAAGAATTTTAACATCATTAAATGTATGTTCCCCTGGAGTCACTCACTGTCCAATGCCTCTGTTCCCTCCAATCACACTGAAGATACGCTGCCTGATTTCTTTCTTCTGGGTAAGGTATCTGTGTTTGAGTGATCGCTGGGATGTGCATAGTGGAGGAATGTGACTAGCTCTGTTAGCTTAATGGTAAGGAGTTAAGAAGTTGTGCTGGGAACCCAGAGGCACAAGGTTCAAACCCACCAGCTGTTCTGAGGACAATCCCTTCTCATGGAGGGTCAGCTATGAGTAGGTTCCAAGCAATTGTACACAAGAAGTTATGGCATAATTATGAGACTAGACATCAGATGGAGTGTGCCCTGCTAAAGGGTGGGCACCAAGTCATGTTCAGCCACTCAGAGAGCCAAGAGTCTCTTAGCTTAGGCAAAATGGAAGGATAGACTTCTAACAAAGCTATGTAGGAGACCCAGGTGGAGTGTATGGCAGGAAGCCCCATTTCCTGCCTTCCCCCTCCACTCTCTCTGCTCTCCTGTAAAGTCCCATTCTTCTTAGGACCCCAGCCAGGTAGCTGGCTCAGCTCAGGGCTCCTCTGTGGTTAGGATCAGATTCTTCAGGTGACAAGGGTAGGTCAGATCAGAGGCTTTAGTGGCTCACTCCCAAGCCTCTAACTGTCTTTGGCCCTGCTGAAAGTTCCTGGAGCCTGTGGCCCCTTGCAGTTTACAGAGATAAAGTCTATGTTTTCCAGCCCACCTTACCCACCCTACAGCTCAATGAGGCCGAGAAATGCAGTCTATTCTTTGCCCACATGCCAGGCAACATGCCCTTCTCTCCCAAGAAAGGTAGGAACAAGTCCCTTGGGGCAGTGGGGCAGTATCTGGGTCAGGCACCCTGAGCAAACCAGGGCCAGAAGCTGCCCCCCCCCCCCCATTTCCCCAGGACGCCAACCCAAGGACACCGGATCTAAAGGAGACGCAGCCTGGGGATTTGAGCATTCTCTCTTCCTGGGAGTAAGGAGGCTGCTCAGGGCCAGCCTTGGGTCTGAGGAGACCCTGTCATCCTCAGTACACCTGCTACATTCAGACCCAGGAGGATCAAAGGAGTCCAAGAGAGAGATGAAGAAGGGCAGTGTCTGTGATGGGTGGAAGAGTAGGAAAGCACAAGGACCTTCGCGAAGTTTGAGGGGGCTTTGGCGGCCATCCCAGCGAACCTGGGGGGTCTGGGAAGGGGATAGGCTGACTGCCCGGCCACCCTCGTACCTGTATTTCATGCCAGTGCTCCGGCCGGTGCTCTCACGGAGGGCGCCCGAGGACGCTGGGGGTCGGGGCACCAGTGCGGCTCGGGCCTTGGGGCCGGACCCTCCTCCCCCCGGAGGATTCCCATGCCCTCCGCCGACCGGCCCGCCATTACCGCCCCCCGGGCCAGGCCGGGGTCCGCACAGACGGTCTTCGCTGTTCCTGCTGCGAAGGTTCTGCTCGGTGCACGCGATAGACACCTGCATGCTGGCTGGCCAGGGCGGGGGAGGGGACTGGAGGAGTTGGGAGATGGGGGGCGCAGGGTAGGAGGAGGGGGGACCCTCGGGGGCGCCGCGTGGCGAACCCCGGCTGAGCTAGCGCCCAGGGGAGCTGCGGCGGGAGCTGCTGGCAGGAGCGAGCCCGCGGGGGCGGGTTGCTGGAGGTCGTGGGTTTGCAGCAGGGAGAAATGCAGGGGGCTCCAGGGTATTTGGATGAAGGAGTTCCGACTCACGAAATAGAGGGGGTGAGTGAATGAGGGTGAAGGTTTAAAGTGGCCCTTGGAGAGTAGGAAGCGGGAGACCAGGGGGGCCGGAGTGGGACGACACCTCCGCCAGAACCGCTGCGGGATCCGCTAAGCGGCCAGCCGCGTCGGCAGCGGGCCCAGTTCATCAACATGCAGACACCGCCCCCTCATCTGCATAGGGCCGCTCACCCCTCAGCCAAGCCGGCAGTCATCAGCATAAACCACGCCTACCACGGCACAGGCAGCAAATCAGCACTCTGAGGAGCAGCAGAGGATCTCAGAAGGATGGTTCCCACATCTAGGGCCCCAGGCAGCTCAGTATTTATGCAGTCCAGTGGTTCTCAACTGAATGTGGTTCTGCTTTCCCAGCGACATCTGACAAGGTCTGCTGACAGTTCAATGGTTATGACTGGAAAAATGCTCTTATGCAGTGAGTGGAGGCTAGATGTGGCTACAATCCTATAGTGTACATGTAACAAACACATCTACAACACCTTTCCACCCCACCTCCCCCCAAAATCCCAAACTAACAAAACCAACCATCCAAACAATTATCTAGCCTAAAATGACACTAATTTCTCTTTGGAGCCAATGCAAAGTCTCCCATAGTGGGTTTAGGAGGTGTGGCCATCTAAGTCCCTCCTTCCCACTCAAGTGACAAACTCAGGCTGCATAGAGTAATACAAAGTTTATTCTACGGCTCTGGATGAGTCCGGAAGGGTGAGGATAACAATTCTCCAGAAGGGCCTGGTTTGGTGGCACTGGAGCTCTGTTAGGCATCTTTCTGGCGGAAGGTAGAGCACCAGAGAGGGACTTGGGCTTTGCCCTTGGAGTATTCTGGGTTGGGGTCCTTTGGTGGCCAGGAAGGTAGGTCCCCAGGCAGATGTGGATTCTTCTCAGGGGTTCTTTCATTAGCCAGCTCGGGCCGGGAAGAAGGGCAGAGAGCGGACGTAGGAGTCTAGACGAGAGCGGAAGAGCTCACTTTGCACAGTTTGGCCCAAAGGGCACAGAGGATTCTTCACCACCAGCTCCACATACAGCTATGAAGAGGGAAGGTGTTAGAGTCCACCTTTGGTTCCCAACCCCAACTAGCATAACTTCAGAGGCATGGCTAGGAGGAAAGGCCTCTATGAGGCAAAACTGATGGTGGGAGTCCTCAAGAAAATTCTGACTTCAATAGATACAACACAGTACAACTAGGGGGGAAACTGAGGGAGTTTAGGGCCTCTAAGTGGCCATGGTTGTTGAGGAACTTTGGGAGAGGGTAGCAGACTGTCACTGACCGCACTGTAGATGTGGTGCAACACATCCCGGATGGGTCCCACGCCCAAGTCTGTGTTCATGACAACTTTGATTCCAGTGGGCGTCTCATAGTAATGGAGTTTATAACGGCTAGTTTGGAAGGCCAGAAAGCCATCTTTCCTGCAGAGAGAAGGAGGATGTTAAGAAAGGGGACCTGGAAGTTAATTCCTCCCAGAGATAATTAATTCCTCCCAGAGATAATTTCTAATCTCCCAATACTGTCTAAACTCATCCACCTGTTTGTAGGAGCTTCTTTTTGTAGGCCATCTTCCCATCTTCACCTCTCACTTAGTTTCCTCTCTCATCTCTAGAGTGAGTTCTGGTGGTCTAGCAGTGAGAGGCTGGCTCTGCTAAACTGAAGGAAGGTGGTTTGAATCCACCAGCTGCTCTGGGAGAAAAGGATGGACAATCTCCTCCCGTATGATTTACTGCCTCTGAAGACCCGCTGGAGGGTCAGCTATGGGTCAGTTCTGACTTGACAGCACACAACATCCCACCTCCAACCTTTTAAAATCCCAGTACACCACTGAAGTTGCTAGCTCCCGCACTTCCTCTTCAGATTCTCTTTCCCCTAAGTCCCTTTCTCCTCTCTGGAGACAACTGCCTCTTCCCCTCCAGAAAGTTTTTCCCACTCTAAAATTCTCAAGACTGATCTTCCTCTCGACATCCCCTCAGACTCTGCGTACATGTCCAATGGAGACATCTTGCTGACAAACGATCGGATAGAGAAGAGCATCCCGTACATCAGCTTGTACTCCTGGAGGGAGAGGGGCAGAGTTAGATCTTGGTTGTTCAGCGAGAAGGGATGGAGACAGGGACGTAAAAGGGTTTGGAGAAGAGGGCGTGGGCTGGGACTATGTGCGTTTGGGGATGTGAAGTCATTTGGGCTGAACTGGGGGCACTGCATCACCTCCTCCTTGGGTATCCCCGCTTGCTTCTTGCGGTGCCACTCGCTGTAGTACAGACACACTCCATTACGGTCAAACAAATACAGATTGTGGACCGTCATCTGCAGGACGAACCTCGTTCCGGAACCGCCCTACTCAGTGGGTTCCAGGGCCCTGTTCGGATACCTTCGGTGAAGAGAACTCCCCCTGAGGACTCACCGGAACTGGTCCAGAGCCCGTCAGAAGTCACTTCCGGTTTCTCCGGAGCCCTGCCCTGCCGGGGTCTTCACACTGCAACTTTAAGGCAATAACTCCACCCCAGCGTCTCTCCAAGACCCGCCCTCCTCTTGTAGCCAATCTGTGGCTGCCAGAGTTGCGCATGTGCACACGGGCTACAGGACCAAAGTGAGCTGAGCGAATGCGGGCTTACAGGCGGGTGACGTCATCGAAGCGAGGCGGGGTCACGGGCAGTGGGCAGGAGGCAAGCAACGGTTTTGAGTAGACTGCGCTAGGGTTGGGGGTTCCGAGTCTTCCGTACCCGGGCTCTAGGGCGTGAATCCCCCTCTTTGGCAATTTGAGGGTGAAAGTGTGATTGGGAATATGGAGATTTGTGTATTAGAGGATTTCACGCTGGATTCGAGGGTCCAAACGCTTCTTTCGAGGTGGTAGGGGGAGAGGCTTGCTATGGCCCTTACCGGGAGGGGTGCGCCAGAGACTCGACCCTGGGCACACCGGGTGAAGGAGCGCTGCGCTTGGGGTTCCTGCCTCTGAGCTTAGAGCCTGTAGGTGCGCAGATAAGGCAGCAGGACAGAAATTAGGTCCTGATTGAATCTGTGGCCGTTTCGATTGTCGCATTCTAGAAATGAGAACTTAAATAGTTCAGTGGACGAAGGATTGTCGAGGTTTATCTCCTTGTAGCTTACACCACATCTCGCTGCGAGGAGGTGCTGTTGGCAAGAAATGTATTTACCCTGCAGTAGGTCTGTCTTCACCCCTTTCCATGAGCTATGAAAAGAATGCGTCTGCCCTTTCTTAATGGTCTCTGGGATCCACGAAAGCGTTGCTGCACTCAAAATCTCCATGCCTTTGAGTTACCAAGGATCCCTATTTTGAAGTCCCCCACTGATCCCTAAATCTCCCTCCTTGTACTTTAACCGGGCTCCTAAAGTGGGACCTGACTGCTGTCTGGCTCCTGTTGCCTGTTCCCCTGTGCTCATGGCGACCTCAGTTCCCAGCCCCAGTTCACCTCTCCAATCCGAGGATCTCTTAAGTGATTCCTCAGAGCCCCCTGTGCTGAACCAAGTGTCCTCTGAAGTGTCCTCCCAGCTCTATACTTCTCTGCGCCTCAGTCGCCAGGCCGAAGCCACAGCCCGAGCCCAGCTGTATTTACCCCCTTCTTCCCCGCCTCCTCACGAGGTGTTGGAGGGCTTGGCCCAAGAGCTGAGTTGCAACTTGTCTGTCGGATTGGACAACAACTCGAAGAAAAAGGTGAGGGATGTGTGTCAGGGGACCTTTCCTGTACCAGACACCTGAGTAGAGTGGTAAAAAGAAAATACTTGAACCTCTAAATTTGGATTTTTATTTCAATCATACATATGAAAAGCATCAAATGTTTTATGGTGGTGGAAGTGGCCAGGGACATCATAATCTGGAAAATGTGACACTTCTTAGTGTTTTGGTGTTGCTGCTGTTAGAGAAACCTGTGTTGTGAGGTAAGTTAATGTAAGCACTGAGAATAAGGTTTCTCAGTCTCTAGGAGGAACTAAGCCTTTGAGAATAGCAACATGCTATACAGAAATCCTTCCAGCTTATAACTGTTCTGTTGGTATGATTAAGAAATTGGTGTGTAAATCATTAAAATACAATTTAATCAACCATACAACTACAGAGAAGGCAGTTACTAGTTGGGGTGGGGGGGAGGAGAAAAGTGTCATTACCAATTTTCAGGCTGCTAAGTCTTCCAGAGTTTGAAAACGAATAGGACATACAACCTTTAAACTACATGCTTGCTTCCCCTAGCATTCTGCCTTATACCTGCCAAATTTACTCATTTATACCACCTGCTTCCATAAGGTGCACTGATAGTACAGTGCATTATGTGTTGTGCAGCTAATTGAAAGGTCAGCACTTCAAGACCACTAACGGAGAAAGGTGGAGCTGTCTCTTCCTGAAGGGTGACTGTGAGTCAGAATTGATTCAATAACAGTGGGTTTGGTTTAGGTCTTCTGTAGATATTTGAATTTCTGACTTAAGCTTAAAACATCCCTGACTGAATCAGTTTTGCTCTGGCTTGATGGTGAGGCAAACATTCTTGGGGTTTAGGGAAGACTGGTGCTCTGGTGGTATGGTCTGCAGGGGAATGCATTTCTAAACCAACATGTGCACCTGTCTAGAAGGTCCCTCCGCTGAGGAAAGATGGTCAGTCTCCTCTAAGCCGTTCACAGCCTTGGAAAACCTGAATTTCACTCTGCAATGCATGAGGTTGCTACATGTTAGAATCTTCTTATTGGCTGCTAGTTTGGTTTTCTGGGTGTTTTTGAATGCCATCTGCCCTAACCTGTCAAGTTGGAATTAACTCATCGCTGACCCTTCAGCAGGTTTTCAGAGGCTATGAACTGTATGGAAAGAGATTACCCATCTTTTTCCCACAGAGCAGCTGATGGACTCAAACCTCTTGGCTTTGGGTTGGCAGCGTAACTCCTTACCATTAGGACACCAGGGTTCCCCTGGCAAGAGGTAGAATATAAATTGCATAAGTTGTGTCTGATTTCTGCTTGACTTTTCTCTCTCTCTCTCTCTGTCTGTCTCTCTTTCTCTCTCTCTCTCTTTCTTTCTCTCTAGGATGGTTCCATACATATCTTTGAGATGGAAAGTGTCCGGGGTCAGCTCCAGAACATACTCCAAAGCTCACGTGATGCTGCCTATCGTGAGTAAATTTCCTTCCCTAGTGTAAACTCTTTCTCTCGAGTACACTCCTAAATTGGGAGGACCTAGTTTGAGAGGTGGAAGAAAGCAGGAGAGAGGAAGCAGGGAGGAAAACCTAGGTCTTCGAGATATATGAGATTTCAGGAGAAAGGGCTTCCACGCTTTGGTAATGAGTGAGATACAAAGGCAGGACCTCTCTTCTCGGTTCTTGTTCTTGACCCTGATTGTTGGGGTGCTGGCTGCCTGCAGGGGACTCCCTTACTCCAGGTGCCAGCTCCCAGAGACGAGAAGAAGACTCCTTTGACAGTGACAGCACAGCTACATTGCTCAAGTGAGTTCCTCCTAGCTTATCTGCTTTCTTAGAAATGCAAGTGTTCTTTAATTCTCCCTTTATTGTTTTATGCCTCTTAAGAACCTAAAAACTTTGTTCCTTAGCTTTCATTTTTCATCTTTTTTTTCTTTTCTGTCTTCTCACCACCCCTCAGGAGCATGGGCATCTTCTGCCTAATACCCACCTTCCTCTCAACCTCTAGTTCTCCTTCCCCTGAAGAATTCTTTTGTGTCTGCTGAGATCTTTATTGCAGGGAAAGCGATACTGAGGACATAGTGCTGCCGCGTGAATCCCAAAACCTTGGTCGTAGTTATGGCTCTGTCACTATCTAACTGTATTACTTTAAGCACATTACTGATCCTTTCTGGGTTTTAGTTACCTCATTTGTGAAATGGTCCATCTGGACTGTGGATCTCAAAAACTTTAACAACCCTAATGTTCATTACCTGATTTGCTCAGCACTCGGCCTTTGCAAGACTTATCTGCATCTAGCTCAGCTCAAGCCCTGGAGGAGTTGTTTCCCCGCTACACCAGCCTTCGGCCAGGGCCACCATTCAATCCTCGAGATTATCAGGGCCTGAGAGATGCGTTGGATTCAGAGCACACCCGTCGAAAGGTGAGATCAGGAAGTGGAGTGTGAAAAAGGCTGATGGGGCTTGACAGTGGGAACTTTGCTCAAAATATCTCTTCAGGGAGACCATCTTTGACTAGTCTTACCTGATGTCACATAGGGTCACTGTGAATTGAAAATCAACTCAATGGTGTCTAACAATCTAAAATGACTCCCCCTTTCCTCTAGCACCAAATTCACTCAAGCAATTCTCTTATTACTTTTGTATAGTTTATTATAGTCTTGTATATCTTTTTTGTTTCTCCCCTTTCATATCTAAAGTCCATGAGTGTCGTCCCTTGTCTGTTTTGCTCATTACTGCCTCCCTTGGATCTGAGTATACCTGACTCACAGAGAACTCTATAAGCGTTTACTGAATGAGCTTTGCTAGTTAGTGTAGAGGCTTTTTAGATGTTGGTGGGAGCCTCATTTAGTGTCTGAAAGGGACAAGGAAGAGGATATATTGAAATCATCAGTTGCCATTTTGGAATTATCTCTTTTATTTTAAATTGCATGAGCATGAATGAGTAGCCTTTTCCTTGATCTTTACTATATTTAACATTAAATCCCTTGGACTTCTACCTAAGACAAGAACACCTTCCCGTAGGCTTTGTACTCTAGGCTGCTGCCCCTACCAAAGGGTTTCTAGGAGATTTTCTCAGGAGATTCAAGAAAACAAAAGCATTGGAAGCTGAGCATGTGTTTCTTGAGAAGGTAGAGAATACTGGAGGTTTTACGCGTTCCTGATCCAGGACCCCTTACTCTCCATATCCAACTCTGTTTTGTTGCTGGAGGCTGGCGGGTCCCTGCTTCCAGCTCACTTCCCTTTAAAGGAGCTGGAAAGTTTGAACCTTGGTCAGAGTAAAGATGAACAACACCTGGACTCTCTCCTCTTCCTAGCATTGTGAGCGCCATATTCAGAGCCTGCAGACCCGAGTACTAGAGCTGCAGCAACAGTTTGCCGTGGCTGTGGCTGCTGACCGCAAGAAGGACATCATGATTGAACAACTGGACAAGGTACCAGGGTAGCAAGATGCAAGTGAGTCTCTCCCTGGGAAATATAAGGGCTGGTAAATTAGAGGCTGGCCAGCCCTCATTTTGCTGTACATGCTAGGAGCTAGATAAGGACTAGGTTTGCCAACTGTTAGAAAAGAAGGCTTTTTGAATGGAAAGAAGGATGAGTTATTTTGAAATTCTGTCATATGTGTCCTTATTGAGACCCTGGCTCATGTGGTGGAGGGCTGGAACCGACATGAGGCCGAGCGGACAGAAGTGCTTCGAGGACTTCAAGAGGAACGCCAGGCAGCTGAACTAACCAGAAGCAAACAGCAGGAGGTAGGCAACTGGAGTCATAAGGCCTTAAAGTCTAGGTCACAGATGACTGGCTGAAAAGAAGCAGAGATAGTTCCAAAGTTAGGATTCTCAACAGATAGGCTATGATTTCACAGTACCTGGCTTACAAACTCTTCCTCTGCGTCCTTTCCTTTCACACTTTTCTGTTATGCTTTCAGAATTGAGATAGTCCCAATTCTTCCATACCGAGTAGTCTTCTTTTTGGTCCCCAAGTCATTCAGTTACTTGCTAGTGCTTCTTAAGTGTTGTGCACAAGGATTTTCTTCAGCTCCTCTGTTCTGTGTTTTCCTCTCCCTGAAAGACAGTAACCCGCCTGGAACAAAGCCTATCTGAGGCCTTGGAGGCCTTAAATCGTGAGCAGGAAGGTGCCAGACTGCAGCAACGGGAAAGAGAGACACTGGTAAGAATGCTGGCCTGTGTTCATTTGTGTGCTGAGTTATAAGAGTTTGTAGTTTGAAGGTCCAATAAATGGGCCCTGGGACCAAGGAAGTTCTTGAAACTTTGCAAATTAGTACACACAGAGCATCCGAATCTTCTGCAGAATTATTTTAAAACCTGGATTCTGAAAAAAAAAAAACAAAACAAAACAACCAAAAAACAAAAAAACCCTGGATTCTGGAGACCCATCCCTAAGATATGTACTTCATTATATATACGTATATGATGAGGATGAGAGAGCTTCAATATTTTCAGAAATTTTCCAGCTTACTTTGTTCACCTAGGTTTGAGAACTTTGGCCTAGGGTATCACCTAAAAGGATGTGGGATGAGACTTTAGTTTCTGAGAGTGATAATGATAATATGATTACCCTTATGAGTCAGAAGCCCAGTCTGGATCTTGGTGCTTGCATTGAGCTTGCTTGTCACATGCATGCTGGTACTTGTAGTCTTAATGGGCTCTATTCAACCATGCTGGGGATGGAAGTTTGCTGCTTAATTTAGTCTTCATAGCATTTCTTTTGGTGGTGTTAGTGATAGCTGTGTTTTAAGTACTTACTATGTGCTAGAAGTGGTGCTAAATGCTTTACGTATGTTTTTAAACTTGAATCCTCAAATTATTACTCCTGAGACAATTTTTACTTTATTTTTTTTATTAGATCCTTCATGTGAGGGTCTGTACTTAAGAAAACACAATAACTGACAGGACTGGTATATAAATGAGATTTGAACCTAGGTTTATTCTGACTCAGGAATAGATCTTATCTACTCTGTCACAGTCTTGTGGGCTTGTTAACGCTTGTATCTGAAGGGACATAATTCTCAGCAGGCACATAGTATGAAGAGGGAGAAGATTGCTGGTCTCTTGAGAGCATGTAAAGGATTTTCGTTTTCTCCTGGGGCTGTAGGAAGAGGAAAGGCAAGCCCTGACTTTGAGCTTGGAGCTCGAACAGCAGCAATGCTGGGTCCTTCGGGAAGAACGGGATGAGGCTCGGGCCGGGCAGCTCAGTGAACATCGACAGCTGGAGATGCTTCAGGCTGCCCTGGAAGAAGAGCGGCAGACATGGGCCCAGCGAGAGCACCAGCTTGAAGATTGCTGTCAGGCACTGCAAGAAGAAGGAAAGGCTCAGCTGGAAAAGGAGAAGGTAAATGCATCAATTGGCAGAATTGGGGAATGGGAACAAATGGACAGAGTAAAATCTAATAGCATATGATGTGAGAACAAGGATGGAGAGTGAAAATTATATAAAGTGACAGATTACCCAGTAACAAGGCAAGCATGATGGCCCTACTTAATGAACAGTTTTACATTTTTCACATCAAAGATAACAGGAATGGCTATATGAAATACAATGTGAGTGCATAAAACAAACAGTTAAAAAAAGTTTCTGCTGCTAGCTATGACAGGCATCTATCTGAACCCATTGTACCTTGCTACAGAAAAGATGAAATCCATGTGAAATTTTTCACTACAGATTAGTGAACAAGTAAACCAGAGCTTGCTTTATTAATTGCCCCTCCCTATATTTAGGAAACAATACTGAAAGTGGACGGGGTCAGCCAAAAAAGACTGGGCTATCTAGTCTATGAAAGGTCCAGAATGGAATAAAACAGAGGTGGGGAGATAGGACAAACATGAGAAGCAAGAAAGAAACAAGGGATGAATTGGGGAATAGAGGTACCTCAGAGACAGGGGATGAGGCATGTACTTGATTTTTTATTTCTCTTTCTTAGGGAAATACTCAGAGGGAAGCCCAGGTAGCCCGGGAGGCACAGCAGCAATTGGCATTGATGCAGTCTGAGATGCAGCACTTGAAAGGAGAGCTGGACACAGCACGGAGAGAGCGAGATGCCTTACAACTGGAGATGAGCTTGGTGCAGGTCAGGAGGTGGAGCCCTTGTGGGTTTTTTCTGGTTGAAAGAGGTAGTTCTGGGGCAGAGAGGCCACTCAGTCTTTACACAGACATTTCAGGTTGGTGCTTTATTTCATTGGTGATTTCTAGGTAGTGTAGGTAGTTTTCTGTCTTCAACTCAGAATCCATTCTTACTGATTAACAGTTTTTGATGATATGTCAGGCTGACCTAATGTTACTTTCAGGGTGAATAGACCAATCTGTTAAAAGTACCATGTTCTCTCTTAGAGCTAGGGATTTTGAACATTTCTTCATGTGCTTGTTGGCCATCTGAATGTCTTCTTTGGTGAAGTGTCTGTTCATATCCTGTGCCCATTTTTCTATTGGATTATTCACCTTTATCTTGTTGTAGTGCTCAAGTATTTTATAAATTCTAGATATAAGTCCCGTATCTGACATGTCATTACCAAATACTTTTTCCCAGTCTGTGGCTTCCCTTTTTACCCTGTTGGAGAAGTTTTTGGATGTGCATAGGGATTTGATTCTTTGAAGGTCCCATTCATCTATTTTTATCTTCTCCTGGTTTTAGATTTTTCAGGCTACTTGGAAGACTGTTTATGTTCTGGATTAGAACTCCTAGAATTCTTCCAAGCTTTTCTTTAATGAAGTTTATAGTCCTTGGTTTTAGTCCTAGATTCATGATCCACCTTGAGTTGGTTTTTGTATATGTGGTGAGGTGTGGGTCTTGCTTGAGTCTTCTGCAGATATTTTTCCAATTTTGCCAGCACCATTTATTAAAAAGGCTGTTGTTTCCCCACTTAACTGATTTCATTTCCTTGTCAAAAATCAGTTGACCATATGTAGATGGGCTGATTTCTGGGTTCTCAGTTCTATTCCATTGATCTGTGTGTCTGTCATCTCACCCTAGTCAAAATAGCAAAATTTAACAGAACAGCAAGCAACAAATGCTGGCGAGGCTGTGGAGAAACTGGAACTCTTATTCACTGTTGGTGGGAGTGTAAAATGGTGCATCCACTGTGGAAGGCAGTATGGTGTTTTCTCAAAAAGTTGCAAATAGGGATACCTTTTTTTAAAAATTTTGTGTGTGTGTGTGAGTGTACTGTCAAATCAGATCTGACTGGTATAGGAGGAGATTGTCCCTTCCCTGGCAGAGCATCTGGTGGATTCGAACCGTGCGCCTCTGGGATTGTAGTTGCAGTTCCTTGCCACTAGGCCACCAGAGCTCCCCTTAGAGATACCATTTGACCCCGCAATTCCACTACTGGGAATATATCCCAAAGAGACCATGACTGACATCCAAGCAGATCTATGCACACCCATGTTTATCGCGGCTCTGTTCACAATAGCAAGGAGTTGGAAACAACCCAGGTGCCCATCAACAAACGAATGGATAGAGAAGCT